TTGACAAACTGGTGCCTGAAACTGCAATAATATGGATACTTGCGTGAAACGGGTGGCTATCTTGATGGTTTTTACATCAGTTGTACTTTTTCAAGGTGCGTATAGAAAATTATCACTTCGTTTAGTGCACTGTTTTATTTATAACAGACGTTTAGCGTGTACTTGCCCGCGCGCTCTTCTTGCAACCCCTTTGTGATTATAAAAAAACTGAAAAGGTAAGAAATCTTAAAAATAATAAACAGGCGTGACACGTCAAACATATTTTAAACTTTTATAAAAATAAAAAACCTTAATACTGATCATGAAGCTTGAATTGTTCATTCCAAGCGACACAGGGTGTACGTGTAGCATACGAAATAAGCTGTAAGCTTTTGTATGTTAAAGTACGTCGTCAACACCTGTAATATAAAGCGAATGGCCGTAAATACTTGTCTTTTGTTATTCTTTTCTTAAGGTAAATCTATATTTTGATATTTAAAGCTTTTCCTTGCTTAGTTGTTGTTCAATTTGTCCGTTTGTTATACTGAACTGAATGTTAAACCATCATTATTGATATGTGATCATCCATAGTCTTGCCAGTGAAGAGCAGTGGGCATCGTTTTCACATCATTCATTAGCCTGGGTATATCATGTTTTTAAACTGTTACCTGCCTTTTTCAAAATTGGAAATGATCGGAAATAGAACATAAAGTACATGTACTGGTGTGGAAATCTGATATCCAGATGTACATTCAAAAAATACCTGTAGCTTTGAAGAATTATGATCAGTGTTGGGAGTAAAGATTACTTTTGAATTTATGTTTTAAATCTGTGATAAATTTGTCATTGAAAATCCTTTCAATATCTTTAGAAAAGTTACTAAAAGGTGAGTGTTTGAGATTGTTATCACCTGTTCAAGCTGAGAGTAATATCTTTTTTTATGAGTTGATAGCCTCTGTAGAACAAAAACTTGTAAAGTATTTTTTTTTTTTGTCATGAATTTTAAAACCTCAGGTGACCCGAAAACACTGCCTCCCAGTCCATGGACCCCCCTACGGACCTGGTCCACGGACCACTGTACGGACCGGTACACAGACCCCCCTTACGGGTCCCCATGAAGACAATAGTAAAAATGACAGTTAGAGATTTTGACTTACCGTTTGTTTTGTTTTGTTTTTTGTCATTGTTGCCTGCTTTACTGTGATGATGAAAGGAGGACCTGCGTACATTTATGTCGAAAAAGACCGATAACTTGGCTAACTTGTGTATTCGCTGCCGGCCTCCAATTGCCTCTGCCATTTTGTTCGGCTTAATGCTCCTTGTGTTCAGTCACTCGTCCCGGACTTCAAAAATTAGACATGGTATCTCACCTTTAATTAATTTCTCTCTCGTGCAACCATGGATGACATGGGACACCAAATCTCACAAAAATACATTTCTGTAATTTATTAATTTAGTTCGACACTGCAGAAGGAATATATTTGAATCACTGCCGTGCCACATTAGTGTAGCACAGCAGAGCTTGCCCTACTTAATTTGTCTGTCAAACCAAATTCAAACTTTTATTCAGATGTTGTGTTTCTTCCATGCTTAATTCACTGAATTAAATTAAGCAGGTTAAGTGTCATTTGAAGCTAACTACTGCAGCATGGCCCATAATGTTTGCTTCTTGACTACTGCTTTATATACTGGTGTGTTGGATACTGTTATTAAAATATTAAGAGGCTGTTATAGCTACAACAAATGAAAAGGCAGGTAGGGATTTGGAGATGTTCACATGAAAGGTTAGCCATTAATGCATGTTACAGTTTTATATTTTAAGAAATAATTTTGAACAAATTATTGCTATTCAGCTGCAGAGGCTACATGGAATTATCAGTATTGTGGACAATGTTTGGTACTTGGTATCTTCTTTATATAAAACTGGAAGTTCTGCAGTTTTACATACCGTTTATATTTTTCTCGTTGCCCTCTATGTAAAGTATAGAGGACAAATGGTCCAAGTATGTGATACTGTTCTTACAAGTTAAAGACACTATTGAGTTTAATTGCAAATGTATAGGACACGAGGCTTAGAACCCTTGAATGGGAAGTCAGACCTGAAAGAAAATAGAGCGAGGTATACTTCATTTATAAATAGTATACTACTCCACTTATTTCAATTGAGTTTTCCTCAAGTGTCTTCAAATCCACTTATCTCTCTTCCATTTCTTTCCCTTACGAAATTGTTTTAAATCATCCTTGACTTTTTTTTATTAAACCTATTACAGGACATAGTCAATAAAAAGAACTTGTTGAAACACATAAAAAAACTTCTTTTGTTTCAAGTGTAACTTCCCCTTAAGGGGAACAGAATAATTACCATCATTGGGTGTTTAAGGTATCATCCAGGGTAAAAAAACATCATTTTTCGGAATTTGCAATTTTTAGATGATTAAATAGAGCTCATCAAGAGCTTTCTTTAAAAAAAAATCCAGGAAAAAATGTATTTTCTGTGCAGACATACGGAGCACAAAAGTTT